CCCTCTGCTACCTCTTTAAATTTTTCATTCAGGTTGACTTTAAAGCAATGAGCCTGGGAAAACCTGACAAGTTAATAGCCACACTGACAGTGATTCTTTCAAATGCTTTGGGATGGCTACCACTTCTGCCACAGGAACAGAACTTTCCAGGGTAATCTCTCACTGAGGTCTTGATTTGTGATGAACTGAACAGCTCAAACAATTAACTGAGCATCCCATTCTCTTGTAATTTAACAGTGGCAGCAACTTCCCCTTTACAGAAAAGCTATTTGAGAATTTCTTACAGGTCATGAACAGATTAAAAGTTTTTCCCAGGATTTCTGGAGAAAACAGTCTGGCAGACACTGCTATCAACTCTTTGCAGTACTTCACTATGATCTTTCACCTTTACCTCTTGGTTATGTGGTCTATGCATCCTCTTCGTTCCCACCAGGCCAACAGAAAAAGAAGAGGCAGGGAGAATGCAGGGTCTCATGTCAAATCCAGCTGTGTCAGCTGTTTTCAGTAATTTATATTTTGAGGGTGGGTGGCATCCACCGTATCATCTGTTTAGCCAGATTCTGGTCACAGTCAATTCACATTTGCATTGAGTAACAGATAATCTGATTTGGCAGTTATCCCACTATCTCTTTTACTATTTGTAATCTCCCCCTCAATATAAAGAAATTTCATTTTGAGAATTAAAACTGAGTGACACAAGTCTGCCTCCCAGGATACAAACTGTTAAGTAGAAGAGATGAATGGTAAGTCTTATTTGCTTGAATTTAAGCCACATGTCCCCTGACAGTCCCAACCACATCAGGAATGCACAATCTGCATTTTAAGCTCATCACCATTTGGACAAGCAAAGGTTTATGTCAAACGAGCTCTTGTGCCACTGTGGTTTAAAAGAGAAAGCCAGTGAAGACTCTGAGCCATCAGCTCATTTCTAACCTACTGTTCCAAAGTAATATTTTTAGAATTTCAGTGAAACAAGAGCCTCCAAGATACATAAAGGAACATCTAAAAATGATGTCTCAGATCTTCCTGGTTTGTCAGTCTGGGTTTGAATGCTGAAAAGATGGGGAACTGAAATTTCTCTTACAGCTGTTCTCCATAAATAGTGGTAGCATGCCCTGGGGGCCCATATTCTAAAACCAAAAAGCACCACCAGTGTCACAAAAATGTCTAGAAAAATAGAAACTGCTTAAAATATTTTACCATATTAACTTTTAGATTCAGATTTAATACCATTCGTGACTCCTTATGTTAGCCCAATGTCTAACAGCCATTGGACGAAGATTCAGCTGATGTAAATTTTACATCAGCAGTGATCAAAAGGTCCTAGCCACAACACTCACAGTCTAAATACAAATGATAATAGGCAGACGTAGATACCCGAGGCAAAGCTAGGAAACAATAAAAGAGCATCAATCAGCAGGAGAAACTGCTGAAAAAAAAATTACAGTGTTGCAATAGTTTATTATTATTATTATCATATTACTTCCAAACAAAAAATTGACTCTATTAACCAGGTACTTTGTTATTGTTTGTATGTTATTATTGGTAGCATTGCTATTAATTTTGTTACACTTGTCTCCATCAGAGCTTGAAAAATACCCTGTCAAATTGCCTGTGGTTAATAGTGAGCTGAGGAGCAGACCAGTCTTCCAATAACTACAGAATTTAAATTTTTATTTAATGGGAGGAAAAAGTTTCTAGCACTTCTGCACATGAAAGCATAGTTTAGAAAGCAAATCAGTGGCCTCGGTCTTTGCCTGCTGTAACTCATCTGATGCAACAGCATGGATGCAACAGCAGGATGGTGTGAGCTGACTGGGTCACTGTGACACAGACAGGAATTGGTATCACTGCACTTTTCTATTGCACTTTCTAGGAAAAGTTCCAAGATAATTAATACAGGAAAATATTTCAAATAAATACAATCAAAATGGACCATTTTTCTTAGGGAATATGCATCCAGGTGCCACGAAGCATATAGCAGAACATGTCTGACAACAGATCCCTTGCCACTGAGGGCTGAATTCCGTTACGGCACTAACTGAAAAAAAAAAAAACTTGCCCAGCTGGACACATTAAGAGTCTTCAAATGCACATACACACCTACAAACCAAATGTAGTTATGAACTAACAATCTGGAAGCTGATCCCTCCATGAGTGCTATCCAGCTTTCTGACAGGAATACCTCCCATCTTTCCTTTCCTCGTGATAGAGACAGGGTGGAGAATAGGCAGGGTCCCATTAAAAAGGCAGTGGGTTACTCAATGCCTTATCCTTCACCTCTCCATTTTTTTTATTTGTTTTAAATGCGTGTCTGATTTAGTCATTCAGATGGTAAGACATCTGGTACAGTTTTCAGGCAATGCTTTAATTTAATGATATAACAAATAGTACACAGGCTTGTTTTACCATAGGAATTTTTTGCCTCCCATGTTACTCTTTCTAATTGGAACTATGTAAATCATAGGCAGCTGGTGCTATATAAATCATCTGTAGTATGTCTGCTATTCATTTAAATAACAAATTGGAACTTTTTAGTTCTAATTGTTACATGCTGGCCATAATAAGTTGTACACACGATAAAACTGGAGGCTTGCTGTGCTCTATTAACTCAGTTTATGAAGCATACGAAGAGGTCCTAACAAGACAGACTACAAGAAGTAATCTTCCCGGGGCTGCTGTATGAGGAGCACTGGTTTATGTACTACAAGATCCCAAGTCAGTTAAGGCATAAGCTTGAAACACACTGCTTAGCAGCTCCAGTCAAAGTTCCACACACAGCATTTCCCAGGTTCAGCTGCTGAACATGAGATAATGGAAGACATTAAATTAATTAGAAAGGAAAGTGACCTAACTCCATTCCCAGATCTGTCAATGACTTTTCACGTTCCTTGGAGAAAGCCACTCCCCACAGCTGGGCTTCAGTTCTCTCCCCTTTGTCTGAGTGGTCTACCTGAAAACAAATCCCTTGCTCTGGAGGAGAGTCACACTGTGAGCAGGCAGTGTGGAAGAGCAATAGGCACCCAAATGCAAATACAGCCATTAGGTACCCTGGTGAATCCCAGTCACTTTTCTATTGTAACACAAATAATAATAGTTTTACCAATAGGATCTCATGAAAAAAGATCACAATAAATTTACTGTTCTGTCAGCTGATCTCATGTAGTTTAAGTATCAGCACATCCAAAATTAATAAGAAAATAAACCCTATTCTTTCACATGACAATTATTTTTAAATGCTGGTTTATCCTTGAATTTTTAATTCTTGGTGTTATTTTGACTAGGAAGGAATGAGCTGAAAAGTGTAACATAAAGCTTTGGGGCTTTTTTCATTAACAAGAAATAACAGTATTGAGTAAACTACACTACCTTTAACAAGGGAACTTCTTCAGGGCAGATGTATGACTTAATAAAAGGCCTAAACATCCATTTCTTTACTAATTCTTTGTTTGGGGATCTTTAACCGTTTGTGGAGCTGTTTTTAAAAGCTGAACTCATCCTTATATGGGAAAAAAGGAATGTCCTTAAGTGAGGAATGAAGCACACTCACAGAGTCCTTAGCTTCATCATCACTGCTTCCTCACAAAGCTTCTTTGGCTCTATCTGTCAGAAAACTGAAGGCCGGAAAGGACACTGGCCTCAGCTCTGCATGTGCTCATCTTCACTCTCTAGTCATTAGTGTGGTCGTGGACAGTTTTTATTTGTGCCTGACAGCTTTCTCCATGTTCCTGGGCATGTATCACGGGCTAGCAAGGGCCAAGAAACTCTCCCCATAGGCAGCGTGGATGCGGCCACCCAGCCTGGAGAGAAGGAAAGCCGTGGAGCACTAGCAGCCCTCTGGGCAGAGACTCATCCCTACCTGTAACACTGGCGCAAGGAGCTGTGGGGTCCCTCCCTGCAATGGCTACCAACACAGCCCGTGCTGACTGCACAAGAGACCATGCAGGTTCATGTGAAGGCAACTCGCAAGATTTTAAGTTTTCTCACTAAGAAGTGCTTCAGATCCTAAACTTGGTCTCAAGCTGGGAGCCTAGGCAAGCCATGCAGTGCTCACAGGAGCATGCTTTAGAGTTCACTCTTAATGGATTCCTTCGTTTGCATGTCATGTACTGAAATTCAAGCAAATTTTTGTGGGTGTAATTTTAGATTGCAGCAGAAACTGGGCATGACACCCAATGCAATATGTAGAATAACCATGGAGTGTCACATAGTATCAAGCCAATTGCTAAATGAAAGGAACATGATGAGGGACAGCTTTGGGGTCAACCTGCTAAGTTATCTTCAGACTAGAATGGCCCCAGAAAGGATTATAAATTGTCCTGAGCACAGCACTAATCTCTTTCAATTCAGTAGCTTTGTGTAGTTGCATCTTATTATTAAGGGAATTCACACTCTGAGCAGGGTGAGTGGGGAAAAGAAGTGGCTACTGTAACTTCCATACTGACATTTCCAAGTGGCTCAGGAAGAGCTTGCTTTGGCTGAGGGGAAGGATTCAGAGCCTTCAGCTTCCTGCACAGGCAAACTTTCCAGCTAAAAGGCCATGACGGATACTCCTGTTTTGCACACAGCATCTCCCACTTTCTCCTATGGCACTTGAGCAGCTTTGCGTGCTGAAGCAGAAAGACCAGCACAGGGATCACAACCAGCCTTTGTCAGGGGAGTAAGCACATCATCTACCATGCCAGATCACTTCAGCTAAGGGGAGGCAAAAGCATGTAAGCCTCCTATCAGATGGTTGAGAGGAGCACCCAAGCAGTTCCTTCTTCCCTCCCAAAATTCAGAGCCTAGAGCATGGGAAAGCTAAAAAGGCCCTAAGCCACAAAATACATGTCTTTTCTTTCTCTCCTGCCTCTGCCTTACAGACTGCTGCCCAGACCCCTGTGAGCACGGCCGGGTGTGTCCCTGCTGCCCACCCACCATCTCTCTGTTCTGCCACAGCTTTCTGCATGCACTGCCCATGGAAAGAAGGGGTTAAGGTGGGTGGGTGGCCCTATATTTACCTGCTCTGGTCCCAGTTGGCAGCAAAAAGCACGAGGATCTTCCTGCCATAGTGGTCAAGGTTGGCCAGCCCTCCAGGGAAGCCATCCTTCAGTGCCTGCTTGATGCCCGGGTCTGTGGCCTTGAAGCTCTTGAACATGTCCAGGTTCTGCTGGCGATATTCAAAGTACTGGGCCAGGAGGCGAAACGCCTCGAAGTGCTGAAACTTCCTGGCCCGCAGGAATCGCAGGATGAAGGCATCATCGGTGCGGAGAAAGCCGATATCTGGCCGGGTGATGACCATGTCCCGCACCTCCTGGATGTCCTGGTGCAAGGTGTCGGGATTCTCGTTCAGCTCCAGCCGAGCTTTCTCCAGAGTCTCCGGAGACAGACCTGCCTGCAAATGAGTCATGGCGCTGCCCTCCTCCTCCTCCTCCTCCCCTCCTCTGCTGCCGGCGCTCCTCAGCCTCCCGGGCGCTTGCCCCCCGGAG